AACCGTAGGCGGGAGTCGATGTCACGACGGAGAGGCACGCCGTCGGGGCCGCGAGAGACCGGCGCTATTAGTTTCCCGCGGTGCCGTTTCCGCCAGGAGCAAGGGCTGACACCGCTGCGCTTGGGCCCCGAATCTGGAGTGATAGAAACAATAGCTACCTGGGTCGGGGAGCGGCGGCGGCTGTAGTTTTCGACGGTGCTGAACGTTTAGTCCTCGTCCCGCGTTTGACACGGGGTCCGAAGCGGGCTGCGATGGCGGGGCCCTGGGATGTGGTGAAGGGTCGCGGTGTTGCGACCGACTAACGCTTTTGGTGAGCTCGGCGACCTGATCGGCGATGGAACTCCAGGGTTAATGACGTGTCGAGGTACCTTAAACTTTGTGGGCTATTTTTTGATCGCGAGATCTCGTCTGCTTCAGGCGAGTTCTCGATGGGGATTTCTGAGTAGCCCAGGGCGGTCTGTACGCCGCCTGCAGACCGGGTAGGAACATCGAGCGCAGAATATCGGGAGGCAGGTTGTGTCGGCCCGGGCGAGAGTGCGTTGGATGTGACGGAGTATTCCGATGGCGTACGGCCGTCCCGGTGAAGCTAGCTGTGGAAAAGGGCCGCGTACGCGTCGTGGGGAAGGCGCCGCACTTCGCAGATTGCGTTCTTTGAGGTTTCGTAGGTATTGTATTCGGAGTTGTTGATGAGGTCGCTGACGGAGAGGAGGAGTTCAGGTGAGAGATTCGTCACCAGTATCCGATATTTGGTGACTGGATAGGTTACTGGCGAATGAGAACTCCTGTTCCCCTGCAGGAACCATTCCGGAAGGCAGGCAATGGTGCAGGTAGGTAGCGGCTTCAATATTTGAACAGGCTCATGCTAACTGGACTCTTAACTCCGGAGGTCACCAGGGTGGTTATGTTAACACCGTGTCCAATTCAACTCTTTATTGCTGGAGTTACAGAGGTGTGTCCACGGTCAGAGTCAGCCGATGAGTGTGTCTGTCGCTTACGACTCCGCGGCTTAAATGGGCATCACGATGTTTACTCCCTGGTCAGGTCCGGAGAGGTAAGCGGTGATTGGTGGTGGTGCCTGGACCTAAACTCGCCAAAACGGTGTGTGCAGTCCTACGGAGCGCCGAAGCTTGTCTCGGGGATGGTCACCACAATATATATTATATAATATAATATAAAACACATATATGATTGTACGTATGTTGGATATTTCCCTAGCATCTATTAATCCTCCTTATGATCAAAATCAATTGAAACATTGATATGAAGTACATTGATCTTAACCAACCATAAGAGCTAATTTACTGACACGTCTTGGACGTAAAAAAACATGATGTTATAGGCAATGGCTTAGATGGTTATCCCTTTGATTAAGTTTTCCCTACTCTGCGTTATCACTATCCAAACGAGGAGAAAAGTGTACAAAGTTACAACATCAGGGGAAGGGAGAATATCCAGCGAAAAAAAATATCACTGGGATTTAGAAGCACGTCGGTCACAGTGACGTCATCGAATTTGTGGCAATGGCGTCACATATATAGAAACGGGGTCATTACGCGTAAAGTGTTGCAATCTGTCAGGATCTCTCTTATATTTGTCTTATTTCATTCACTTGAGTTGACAGGTAATGCTTCAATTAAATTACTGTAGGAAATATGTCGGCTAGCACATCCACTCTATGAATGCGAATTCAATTTCTCTGCCTTCACTCCATTCCTGCCTTGTAACCAAGCTCCTTCCATCATTTCCTTTATCCATCCCTTGCCAACTCTCGTCCAAACCTGCACCCTTCTCTCTTTCCCTCCTCCTTTCAGATATCTTTGCACACTCTTTCCTCCTTCTCTTCCCTCTCATTCCACTGTTCCTTCCATTCTGTTTATGCTCTTTTCCCTCCTTTCAATCCATCATGGCCTCCTACACTGACTTGTACCCTTCTTCCTCCGTTCCAATCCTGCTTGCACCCTTCCTTCCCTCCCTTTTCTTCCTTCTTCCATCATGTTTGCACCCCCCCCCCTTCCTCCCCGTCCTTCCTGGCTACTTACACCCTTGCCCCATCCCTTGTCCTCTCTCCGCATGATTGGGCCATTTTAACAGATGTATAGGTAAATACTAATAATCATCCTTTGGCAAATGCCATTTTGTATAGCTGACCCATATTTTCTAATTACACGCTTTTCTTTCGTATTAGATGATTTTTTCCTTTCTCTCTTTTCATCTACACATTTTATCACTGTCACTTTGATCTTCATCATCAGTGACAAAATGAAAGAGGAATCAAAGTATTTCGTAAGAAATGAACTGATAAACCATAAACAGTACATGGAAATTTACGCCGCTGGTTTGGGATATCCCGTCTTGTGTGGCGGAGAGGTTGGGGAGGGGGGAGGGGCCGGCCACCAGTTCCTGTATATAAGCGACGTTGCATCTTCCACTCTTCACATTACACAGCTAACCTCTAACCAACAATGAATGTGAGTACTTGGTGTAAGATGCACTATAATATATATGTTCGACATTTTGATGTGAATATGATTATAAATTATATATTTTAAAATCTAACAGTAAACCAATATGTATCACAATGTATAATTATCGTATCTCCTCTTGCAGAGCATCAAAGCCGTGATTGTGTGTTGCCTCCTGGTGGCCGTCTCGGCCGGCGTAGACCGAAGGAGAGGTGGTCAAGGATCGAACAGATTCCTTTCTGGAGGCTTCGGTGGCGTCCATGGAGGTGGTCTCTTCGGCGGCGGTTTCAATGGTGGCGGAATCCATGGTAGTGGAATTCATGGTGGCGGAATCCACGGTGGTAGTGCTATTATCGGTGGTGGAATCGCTAATGGCCCAAGCCAATGCAGATATTGGTGCAAGACTCCGGAGGGTCAAGCCTACTGCTGTGAGACGGTGCATGAACCAGAAACACCTGTTGGTACCAAGCCACTCACTTGCCCTCAAGTCCGTCCAACATGCCCACGATTCCATGGGCCCCCCACTACCTGTTCCAACGACTACAAGTGTGCTGGCCTCGATAAGTGTTGCTTCGACAGGTGTTTGGGAGAACACGTATGCAAACCTCCTTCATTTTTCAATAACCATCTCCCCTTTTAAAGGTGCTTATCGCTAATAAGGAGTCTGGTTTTCCGGTTGATAACGGAAGATGGGAGATCTGTGATTTGTAGATATTTATATTTTGATAATAAATCATTTATTTATATTCCCTTGCACTTGTTTAATCCCTATATTTAGATTTTAATCAAATTGAACATATGTTTAAAGTACAATGACCTCATGCAACTATAAAAGACTACTTTTTGTATTGTGAATGATATAAAAACATATGAGATCAATTGATTTCTATGTAGATTCCATTTTTGGATATCACTTTATAAAATTATGAAAGGTCTTGGAAAAATGCAAGTGTTGACATTTATATAGACATACGCTTGTGTATATGTACATGTACGTGTATTTGCACATGTCTGCAGGTATCTTATTTCGAAAAATACAAGCTTAATATCCTGAATCTGTTTCTGAAAAAGCAGCGGGTAGTGAAATATGAATCTGCCGCAGCAACATACGATAAACCAGATATAGATCCTCATAGTCATACCGAAATTAGTTAGTGTGATGTCATAGAGTTTGGAAAGTAGCTGGCAACCTTTCCTTGTACATTTCCCCTTCCTGCCTACCTTCTTCCCTCTATATATCCTGCCTGTAACCTGCCTTGCCCCTTCACTCATTCCCTCATTCCATACCAATTGCACTTTTCTCCCCCTTCCTTACTGTCTCCTTTCATTCTATTTGTAACCCTCTTCTCTCTCATAATTCTTCCCTGTCACCCATCCTCCTTGCACTATCCCCTCCCTCTCTTCCTCCTGTATTTGTTTCCTTCCCATTTTATTTGTACCCTCTACCCTTCTTCCTTTCTTATGTTTCTTATTCCATCTAGATTGAACCCTACTCCAGCTTTACTCCCCTTCCAACTTCCAACGTGCTTGCACTATCGCCCCCCTCCTTCCGCCCTGTTTACACTCACACTCTCCCTTCCTCCGTCCTACCCTTACTCCTTCCATTCTGCTTGCACTCTACTCCCTCTTCCCCCTCTCTCTCCTCTCCACGAAGGAATCAGACACCCTAGTGCGTATTCTAGTGGGATTTTTTATAATCTTATAACCTGTCATTGGTCCATTGCTTTTAGGATTATTTTTTGATGCTGTGGAAATATAGGAATTAACATTTTGTATGGTCTTAATTAGAAAAAAAAAGAATATCTACAATGCACTCACTCCACGCTAGATTATAAACCTTTGAAAAGGCAAATAATTCTGAGTGTGTGAAGTAGGCTTGCATACATGTTCTTCAAAGTACCCATCGAATAATGAATATAATAACGGTACTAATACTAAAAGCATAACGATAGATGTGGATAACATATATGTATGTATATAAGTCTTTAAATTCTAGTCCTTCGAGACTACTTATTTCTCTTATCTTGAATTTATTTTGCCCTTTTCTTCACATCGTTTTCATCTATCAATATATCTCTAATTAATAAATCAATTGCTGATTACTTTTCCGAAAAAGGAAGATGGAGAGCAGCAGCTATTCAGAAACAGGGGGAGAGAGAGGGGGGAGAGGAAAAAAAACAGAAGGGGGAGAGGAAGCAAAAGAGAGAAGAATAAAGAGGGAGAGAGAAGAGAGAAGAAAAAGAGAAAACTTAAACAGCGATCTGGAAGGGAACGGTCACTCAGTACACGGCTGATGACGTCATAGAGGAAAGTACAAGTCTATTATGAAGCGTTGCCAACGTCAAGAATTTTACATTTTATCACTGTTATTTTGATCTTTGTCGTTAGTGAAAATAGGGTAAGAGGATTCAAAGCATTTAGCAAAAAGCAAAATGGAAAACTAAACACGATACCAGGAAGTGCCGCTGGCTTGGGATATCCCGACTGGTGAGAAGTTAGGGAGGGGGAGGGGAGGCGGCCGCCAGTTCCTGTATATAAGCGACGTTGTACTTCCACTCTTCGTATTACACAGCTACCCTTTAACCAACAATGAATGTGAGTGCGATTTGCAAGATGCCATAGTATTATGGTCGACTATTTTAGAGGCATTGTGATGTTCATATCGTCTTATGAACATGATTGATTACAAATTAGACATAATTTTACAACGATAAACCAATATGTATCACGATGGATAATTCCCTTACTTTCTCTTGCAGTGCATCAAAGCCGTGATTGCGTGTTGCCTCCTAGTGGCCGTATCCGGAGGTGTAGACCGAAGGAGAGGCGGACAAGGATCCAACAGATTCCTTCCTGGAGGCTTCGGTGGCGTCCATGGAGGTGGTCTCTTCGGCGGCGGTTTTAATGGTGGCGGAATCCATGGTGGCGGTATCCATGGTGGAATCCACGGTGGTAGTGGTATTATTGGCGGTGGAGTCTCCAATGGCCCAAGTGAATGCAGATATTGGTGCAAGACTCCGGAGGGTCAAGCCTACTGCTGTGAGACGGTTCATGAACCTGAGACACCTGTTGGTACCAAGCCACTCGATTGTTCACAAGTCCGTCCCACATGCCCACGTTTCCATGGGCCACCCACAACCTGTTCCAACGACTACAAGTGTGCAGGCCTCGATAAGTGTTGCTTCGACAGGTGTTTGGGAGAACACGTATGCAAACCTCCCTCATTTTTCAATAACCATCTCCCCTTTTAAGGGTGGTTATCGCTAATAAATAGCCATCGGTTTTCCGTTTGATAATGGAAGATAGGAAATCTGTGATTTGTAAATATTTATTTAAGAATAAGAAATCTTTATATGTTTATATTTGCATTTCTTTGTCCCCTTCGGCTACATTATAATAATGAAATAGAACACTGAAATAAAATTAAAAGGAATAAGTATTGATCTATCACTCTTTAACAGATAGATGATAAATACACAAAGAAACCAATTAAGCCTAGTTTTTCGGTGAATTGAATTCACTGTGACAAATATAAGTGTGAATAAGAATGAATATCTTCACTGTGCATATGTATTTGATGCGTCTGAATTTTATCTTCATCTGATATACTTATCATTTCTAATAAATCTCATAAGCCGTGATTTTTTTTCTTTTTTCTTTTTAATACTACTTATTTATTGTATCATGAATGATGCATAAAAAAAGTAGAAGCAGTTTTCTAAATAAATTAAATTAGGATACATGGAGATTTAAGTATGCGTATCCATTTATACCTGCCTTTCCATGTTTTAAAGAACACATAAACGTTTTTCAACAGACATTTTCAATTTCCAGGCTGGTTATCTTGTGCAAAGAATGATGCGAAAGCTGTGATTTGTTACTACTATTTTCTTAGAGTAAATCTATAAGAATGCTTAATGAATACTCAACTTTCTGATGCCTGTTTATTCTTTCGATCCCGATTTTAACAACAGATCTCAGAGGATCGAGCCAAATATATATATATAGATATTATTTATCCTTGATAATCATCTCCCTCTCCAAAGGTTATTGTTCCAGTTATATATAATATTGTCTGGGTTTTTCTTTGATATAGTCTTTTTAGCCCCCCTTTTTTTTAATGTGTTGATGATTTAGCTTTTCGAGGAATAAAGGGGACGTATTTTCATAATCCAATTGTATATTCACAAATATTTACAAGTGAAACATTAGTAAACAATAAGTAAATTGGTAATATTGATAATAATAGCCGTATATAAGCAAGTCTGTGGCGCCGAGAGTCGTGGCACCGAGATGGGCGCCTGTACAGGTGTTGGGATTTGTGGAGCTTCAGCTTGAAAATGGAACTCTTATCTCTTTTTAAGACAAGTCAGTAGAGTCATTATATAGATATAGAGATCGTCCAAATCGATGTATTCATATGTGATCAGTCAAGAAGATCGGAGCGAAGTGCCCGTCCATGCTGAGGGGTCATCGTTATTTCTTCGTTGGCGAGAACTAGACTCGCACGGACGAACACACAACAAAACAAACAAGCAAATAATCATCTGGCGGCTGGAAGCCTCGATTGATGTGAAACCATCAAAAAAATTAAAAACCCTTTACAAATATATGTATAAGAATATATTTATATACTGTATATATACATATATAAATGTATGTATGTATATATGCCTTGCTTTTATTTAATTCCTCCTTATATATTATAATCAACCGAACATTGATATGAAGAACATTGATCCTAACCAAACACAAATACCTAACTTATTGTATTGGCGTAAAAACACATAATATTATAGGCAATAGTCTCGATGCAGAATTCCCACTTCTGGTTATTATTATCTTGATAACGATAAAAGGGCAAGAGAATACAAAAATGTTTACATATGCTCATACAATATCGTCCATCCAAATACTCAGAAAACAAAGAGAGAAGTTACAAAGCTACAACAGCGGGAGGGAGTCCAGCTGGAGAAAAAAACATTGGAATTTTGGTGTCGTCACAGTGACGTCATCAGATTTGTGGCCAATGACGCCACAGAATAAAGAACAGGTCTTCGCGTAAAGTGTTGCCATCTTTAGGAATATATCTTTCTAATTCATTCACTTGAGTTGACGGGTACTGTTTTATTAAATTTATTTTAAACAGGGAGATATGTGGCTATCACACCACTCTATGAATGAAAAAA